GCGCAGCGGGCGCGGACGAGCGCATTAACCTTAATTCATTGCGATTTCGAGGCGCGCGCGCGCACCAGTACAAGAGCTGCTGCTGCTGCCTTATTATAATATAGTACTCGCGCACGGACAATAACGATTTCGAGACTCGGATTATCCTCTCTGCTGCTGCATGGAGTGTGTGTGTGTGTGTGTGTGCACTTGCTTGATTTATTAACGAGCGCCGAAATACTCTCTCGCGCGTCTGGAGCCGGGGATAAGTTGCCCTGTACAGAATTCGGAGCTTTATTGGGGGACACGACGAGTCGCGAAGATGATCTCTACGCCATACGAGCTACAATTTTTAACGCTATCGATACGATTGAATGCGAATTTAATATAATAGTCGCGAGCAACGAGGGGCTCCCTCGCTGCGATATAATAATTATCGCGTCGTAAATTTGTCCCTATATAACAAGTACTCGCCTGTACTTTGCCGTGCGTATATTATAAACACGCGCATGCAGCGGCAGTGGTGTGCGCTGCACACGTCCAATAAGGAAAGGTAAATAAATTAGCCAATTTAATTATCGGGTGCGAGCGAAAAAGGGAGGATACACGCGTATAGATAAAACTGCGGCCGCTCAGGGATCGCGAGTTGCATCGCGCGCCAACTCGTATATAGAATTTATTACAGCGACACTTGTGTGATCTGCACACACACATATACGCATACATATATAGAGCTGCAATGTTGTGTATACACGCGCATTATTATATACTTAGGCCGCGCATAGCCGCCGGCTAATACACTACTCGTCTATATTATACGTTGTTTTATAATTCTCTCGGCGATCCATCTTTTTACTTTATTTTTATCGTAACTTTGACTACGTCTCTTTCTCTAGAGTAGGTACATCTCGGCTATAAACTGCTAATGCTACTACGCGCGTAACCTATATATACGTTCTCGCGAATTGGCGCGCGGGATGAAAAATCCATCGGCTAAACGTAAGAAGGCAATCATAAATTAATGAACTCGCCTTCGCTCCGCGTTTATCGCGAGCACGTATCATCGACGCTGTATCTAGCTGCAACTAAGTACATTACATTCATACACGGTCAATATCTCGGGGCTCTCTCTCTCTCTCTCTCTAGCGGGGAAAAATTTATCGCCTCTAGGCAAAACGCGAACGCATGAGTGAGCTGACCGCGAGGCGTCGAGTAGTAGTAGTAGTCGTTGAACAATCGTAAAAACGAAGCTGCCGAGCTGTGCGCGCCGCGATGCTTTTGTTTTTTGTCGTTGTTGCAAATGTTATGTACCATGTTGTGCACGCATATATGCAGAGAAAGATTGTTCGCAAAGAACAACGACGTTTCAGCAGCGGCGGCAGAGAAAATTGATTTACGCCGATGCGTATATTAATATTATCTTACGTTACATTAGCACATGTATAATATGCCGTTCAAGCTCTCGTATACACGCGGCACCCGGTCCATCGCGCGCGCGGCTCTTATCTTATCGGCGCGCGCGTACACAACACGGATTTGCGCAAGAGTCGACACAGCCGCTGGACATAATTGTGCGTTGGAATACTTGGGCTCTTACGATGATTTCGGAGCTACACATACGATGTGTACGTGTGACGATGCATAACGCGTAACGCACGCAACGTATATACATTTGTTTATCAATATTGAACTCCGAATCGCGAGTACATAATACTACTGTACGCGTTTATCTCTGTACATACTCGACTCGTGTGGATTTTCCGTCACGTTCGATCATCATCTCGTCGTCGTCGTATATATACATGTAATGCACACACTCAGTCCGAACAAAAAAAAAGAGATTCGAGATCCGCGAGAGGCAATTATTATTAAAAGACCATTATAACGTGTGCACACACACACACACACACACATGCAAAGTCATACTTAAGAGCTCGCTTGGTGCACACAGCTAGTGCATTCGAGCAGCAGCTACAGGTCGCCCGGACAAAGGGTCGTTAATGCCTTGGTGCGCGCGCGCGTATACCAACATGTCACGAGAGAGAGAGAGAATACGTGTGTCCCTTGGAGCGCGTGTATATTACCGGGCTAATTACCGAGCGATTAGCCTGCCTCGGCGTAATTACAACGTGGAGCTCGCGCTGCTCGTGAGTGACTCGCCAAACAGCTCAGCAGCAGCAGCAGCTCTCTCATATGGACGACCACAACTCTTTAACGTATGTGTGTGTGTGTGTGTGTGTGTGTGGGCACGAAATAGCCAAGCGCACCCCGCACGTGCTCGGCTCGTAATGAGAAATTACGCGATCGCAGAGAGCGATGATTAGAGCGAGAGATCCTGTGCTACTATAGCACGAGCCCCCCGGTTTCGGGGCAAAAATAGCTCAAGAGAGAGAAACAATGATTGATAAGGTTATATCGTGCGTGCGCGTGCCGTTTTAAAAGTCATCTCTCTCTCTCTCTCTCCTTTATTTTATTTTTTTTATTTTTAGTGCGCTGTCGCTCTTTCCGCCGTCACCACCACCACTACCACGCAGCAGCTAGAGAATAATATCGATGCATAAAATTATTATTACAGCGCGAGTTATACGCGCGCGCGCGTTACACGACGCTATTTATCAAATAACGAGCTCGAGTATATATAACGTGTGTATCGTAATTACGATGCGCGAGTGTGTATGTGTGTGTGCAAAATTACGCTAGTGGTCCTTGTTAACAAGTACTTTAGCGCGTTTTAATAGTTTCTCTCTCTCTCCTCGTCTATATAGCTGCGACTATATACTATACTGCCTCGATCGGCTCTGGCGGAGATCGTAATATAATAATGGCAAACGCGCGGCGCAAAAAGGCCGCGCGCCGAGTGCATAATATATAATATATATACAAACTTTGCCGCGCGTTATTTATATCGAATAGTACACTCGTAATATGATATATAGAGAACGAGAACGCGTGTAACTATTACGCGTGTATGTGTGTGTGTGTGTGTGTGTGCGTGCGTGAGTTAAGCTGTATTCCGTGAACTGCGCTAATATGCATACATATACACGTTGCGGCGCGCGCGCGAAGCGGGTAATTACATAGTGTACCCGGAGTCGTACACGGAGTCGCATAATGGCTCGCGAAACCCATTCGGTGTCAAAGCCTACGTACATACATAGATGTGTGCAATTGCGAAACCTCATCGCGGCGTCTCGAACTGCCTCGCACTCTTCTCGCGTCTTCTAAGACGATTCTATAAAGCGCAGCATCGAAGCTGCGCTACAGAGCTCGGTATAGGCTGTTTAAGTCTGTACATTGTCAGAGAAACCTTTAATCGAGTGCAGATTTAGCGTTAAATCGGACATTGAAATTAAAGTATTTTATTTGAAGTATTTTTACTTGAAACTTTAATTGCATGATCATTTAAAATGTTTGAAATTAGATTGATTGAATTGTTTTTGGCGATTTTCCTGATACGCATCTATATGAGAAATATTAAAAATGTCAAGCAGTTTTCGTTCACTTCAAAGACGATGATTCAAGCTTCTACCGCTAGATGGCAAGTACTTTGATCCGTAAATCTACAAGTGGCAAACTCGTGGCAATGTATAATATGAACGCCAATAAATATACTTTCACTCAATGCTTGAATCACAATTAGCCACAAAGTGAAATTAGTTGCATAAGTAAAGCTCGAGTTAGGAATTTTGTAGATATCCCTGTGTAAAACGTGATCAACTCGATCGACTCAATCTTTGCTACGACAATATACGTACACACGAATTCGCCCGTATGTAAAAATCGGCGAGTCGCTCGATGCGGAGCGAATAGTCGCGATACCGCGCATGTGTCTACCGCGCGCGAGCGCAGCTAAATATCCACTATACACACACACACACTTGTACGTTTACAGAGCTCGCGATCCGATGCTGCTTTATATACGTGAAATAACGCTGCACATGCACACAGGCGCGCGCACGTTAGCGTCCAATATAAGGCAGCAGCAGCAGTAGAAGTGCACACACGCGATCGGTCGAGTGTATAGGCTCTCTCGGCTTTGGCGCAATTACGCTCGATAGCCAATTAAAGAGCGCCAAGAGCGACAAATACTGCACACGCTCGAGTCTCGTACATGTATACAGTATATATATATACGACTTTTTCGCTAATGCCGAGTTTCTGTCTGTGTGTGTGTGTGTGGATACGGTGACGCCTTTCTCAGCTTATACGTATACAGTGTGTCTATATACAAGACTCACACACTTGCCTCGGATCAGTGGACTTTCAATCGATTTACCTTATCCGTTTTCTCGGCTGCTCGAGATATATACACTTCAAATTAGAGTGCGATCTCGTAGCCAATGTCAGACTCGTGTGTGTGTATGCTGGAATACACAATTTTCCCGTCACTCGATTAAATATATCTGCCTCGGCCTCTCCCTCTCCGCGTAATATACCTGCACGCGCGCGCATGCATGCATGCATGTGCACGGTCTTCTTTTGTGTCCGAGTCGAATCAAACCAATAACGCTCGCGAGCCGATTCGAGATAATTATCGAAAATTCGCTGCTCGACCTATTACGACGTATAAGCTCGACTCTAATCGAGCGTCAAACTCAAAATCATTCGATTCGCGCGCACGCGAAAATCCCAACGCGCTGCTCTCGTATTTTATGTACAGCGTATTATGCGCGAGCGAGCGCGTAAATTATGTATATAAAGTAATAATCTTTTCGATCTTTGCTGCGTGATCCGTGTATAAGTTTGTGTGTGTGCGTTTTAAAATGTGATCGATGAGCTTTCGATCCAATTTATTTACGAAAAACGGTACTCGACACGTATATGAAACGCGCCACACGCATACATACATCGAAAGAGAAAAAAGTATCAGCAGCCGTCGGTCGATCCGCGAAACGATAATGTACACATTTTTGTACCAGCGTACCCATATATTTTACAATATTTATAAAATGTGTCTCTGCGCTTGTATGCGCGTATAATATATAAATAAAATGCAGAATTGCGTCCGAATTGTCTCTCACCTGTGTTTCCGACAGCGTCAACGCCTGCGCCAACTGTTTCCTCTCGGCCCCAATTACGTAGTGGTTCTTCTCGAAGGCGTGCTCGAGCTTCAGCAGTTGCGACGGACTGAAGGCCGTCCTTATTCTCTTTGGTTTGCGGAATGGCTGCAGCAGGTAGCCCGGAATCTCTGGACCTGTATAGACGGGAGGGGGGACACACAACAGAGGCGCAAGGTTAAACATCGTACAACTATATATAAATCAATGAGTACTTTTGAGAATACGTCGAATATGTATACGCGTAATTTATTATACGCGTATATCGATTCGCTAATTTTATTATTAATTATAATTTAATGCCGTGATTCCGCACGAGCCACACACGGAGAGCTTAGGTGCTCGATAATATAATACAAGTACAGCCTGGGTGGGAAGAAAGTTGCGATATATTAAGATCGATTCGTCGACAGATTTCTAAACGATCCTTGTATTAATTGATGAACGACGATTTCGTACGTGGTATAAAGTTTATCGCTCCGACACTACACACAGAGGCTGTGTGGTGGTACGAAGAGCAAACAAAAAATAAAACAACAACGTCATTGGCACTGCATGCACTGCACACACGCGATATATATTATGTATCGTACAGTACGTAACGTATTAACGCAGCGCGACGACGACGACGCAGTGCATATAATACCGATGCAGTCCGTCCGCGATGTGGCGTCACAACGCCACCGGAATACCAAATGGCCACAAGTACAGTATATATATATGAGCAATGATGTCTCACTCGTTGCGCATATGTAATGCTCGGGCTCGGCTGCAGCAGCAGCTTAATAAGCTGCCACCACTGTATGCACCAACTGTAATATGCGACGTGTGTGCGTTGACGATCAAATTATCGGAACGAGAGAAAATTTCCAACCTCGCGCTTCGTGGGTATATATAAATAAAGTCTTGCGGGTGCGATCGATCGGCACCGAATCGAAGGCACAAACTTTTTAATTGCAAACCGATAATTTGTGACGATTAAGAGGCTATAATTTCAATCATCGTTACGACGAATTGGACAAAGGTATACGACACTCGGTTGGGGTCGAGTCGAGAGGCGCGATTGAAATTTTTTCGTTATATAAAGTAATTGGCATAAGCCTTTCGACGGCATTGCCGCCTGCCGATTAGTCCGGAACGGAAGTCGTTGGGAGAGCCCCGATATTAGTCGAGGTGTAAAAAGCCGTGTGCTCGTTCCCGAACTCTTTTTTTTTTTTTTTTTTTACTCTTTCGCTAGACGCTGCCAAGGCAGTAGTAGTAGTAGTAGCTGCCAAGTCCCGAGACTGCTGCAGCCATGATGTTTTATGACTATATCTCGAGCGAAACTGTTTAAAAATCGTAAAAAAAATTCTTGCACTCGCTCGGCGCGAGCGCAAATCGCCTAATTGCAGGCTACCGATATATCTATAGAGAGAGAGAGAGAGTATACGTGCGTATCCGTACGCGAAGAAAAAAAAACCGAGAGAAGAAAAGAAAAGAGAATTCACAAATTTCTCTCGAACGCAGGCAGGCAGGCAGTCGGGCGAGCGTTTAACCATTCGTCAGTCGTTCGTAAATCCATTAACCTCGAAACGCTTATATAGGCGCGCTCGGCGCACAGGCCGGAGTCTTTAGGGAAAAAACAAATGCAACGATGCTTGTGTATGTGTGTGTTGCACCGTGTACTGTCGATGCGTTCGGTTCGGCCGCAGAAAAAAAAAGGAGCCGTGTAATGGACGCGCTTCGACTGTAAATGCATAATTTGTCTCTCTCTCTCTCTCTGCTCGCCTCGTCGCGTGCATCTATTACCTATCGCGTCGTACTGCAGTGCACCACGAACGTATTCCGCGGAATGGTAAATAAAAAAAAAAATTTTTACATACAAATGTTGTCCGATAGAGCGAGTAGGTACGCGCGCGAGCCAAATGTGTATATAGTAGTTGCGCGATCGCGTAGCGTTTACGGCATAACAAGTATCGCATACACGCGAAAACTAGCCTAAGTGAATAATTGCTCGCGGGTGGGCCGCCAATGCACTCGTTTCGACTTGTATTATTTCTTTATATAATTCGAACTAACGAGCGTTGGAAAATAAAAAGTTATAAAAAACAACAATCGTCCCGTAAGCGCGCACGAAAATTATACTAGTTGCAGCGCGCACGAGGACATTCTCTCTCTCGCTCTTGCGGGGTGCACTTTGGAATTTCTCGAACTGCGTGCTCGAGTCGCGGTGTGCGCGCGTATATATACATACATAACGTATGCGTATAATATAAGCTCTCGCGAGCGATGATCATCGTCGCGCGCGCGCGCGCGAGCACGAGCGGAATAACTTACGAGCTCGAAATCCCTTGCAGTCCGCACGGGTCTGTCTCTCTCTCTCTCTGCGGAGCTTCAACGAAATTCGCTCGTTTGTATTACACGCGCGCTATACGCTATATGGCATATATATTACTTCGTTTTTTTTTTCGCGTCACTTCTACACACACACACACACACACACACATTATATACATTTGGCGCATGCACGAATGCGCATGCACGCGCGCAGTATTTATATAAGAGAGCGGCACAAACAAATTGTTGCCCGCTTATTTATGGGCGGCCTCCGCAGATTTATTCGTACGAGTAAAAATCACACTCTCATGCTCGACGACGACGACGAAGAGGTCGTCGCGAGGAAAATCTTAGCGAGGCGCGCTGCGATACGAATCGAGAGAGAATTGGCCCGCGCGTTCGGATCGTTTTTGTTTTTTTATTTTGATTCGGCTCCGAGGCGCCCCCCCTGATCGCATATTATTATCGTTTCTGCTCTGGAATTTGTGAAAAATGAAGTACGAATATGAGTAATCGATCGTGCACGTCGATCCCTAATCATTCATTTGGCCGCCGCCGACGCCGCTGCCTCGCAAGAAAAGAAAGACAGAACGAAACATAATCGATGATCTTCGCGATCGGACCGCTGAACGGTTCATTAGCTATGTCGTTCGCGCGCGCGCGACAGACGCGAGCCGCGGCCCACATTATTATAATACAGCGTATCATGTATAGAGAGGATCCTCGGCGCACCGACAGCTATATTGGCATTTTAATCGTTCGACCCGTGCGCGTTCACAATACAGATATATATATAATAATAAAAAGGCCCAATAAATAAAAGTTCAGGATGTATGGTATATAGGCGATCCTCGGCTCGGATAATATCTCAATAGAAAAATTGATTTTGTCGATACTTCATTAATCAAGGACGGGACGAGAGAGACGAGATCGCGAGATCCGTATCGCCTATATACATATACAGGGGATGGCATTTGGCGAGCTGCGACGGGGGCCGATTTTATAGGCGCTAGCTCGAAAACAGCTATATAGGTTTAACTCGAGAGAAGTTAAGTACATATATACGTATACGGCTCTCGAGAGTCTCTCTGGAGTGTAAGGCGTGATGCTGTTGTGTGTGCCGCTAGAGCCCACATGTATTTAGTGAAAAAGAGAATGAGAATGAGAAGCAGCGGACGAGGCGGAGGAGAGAGAGAGAGAAGAGAGGCTTTGGGAGCTCTCCCATTATGCCCCGAGGCGAGAAATCCAATGAAAAGAGCAAATACGTACACAATGCGGTGCGCTGTATATTATATACGGCGTATACATACACTCGAGCTCGTCAACGAGTCGACTTTCACGCGATCCTTTTTTTTTTGCCCCACGACAATGCACGCGGAGAGCAGCAGTGGGCACACACACACGTACCACGCATCCAAGTTTGGAGAGAGAGTAAGTGCAGCAACGCGAAAAAGAGGCCCTTTTGAGAGAGAGAGAGAGAGAGAGAGGCTTTGAGGCCCGGGCGTCCCGCGTCGAGCACTATATATAAATGGCACTTTAATAATGGCCGATTAAATGCTCGAAAAATGTGACTTTTCAAATAATATTATATACGAATGAAAGGATCCACTCGAGAGTGAGAAAAAAGGAGAGCAAAAGATTCGAGTGTATGAAATTCGATAGCTGTTAACAATTATATTGCGGCTTAAGGGAGGATCATACGTAGAGAGAGTGAGAGACTGGCCAGCCAAGCGCGCGAGGTGTGTATAATAAACTAAACTATACCTGTGGGACTTTTGTCATGGGACTGGTGAATGTGTGACTTTCGATCGCTATAGAGCTTGGCTATTTTCCGAGCCAAAGTAGGTTCTTTATATGCGCACTCGTGCGATTATATACGTATTTTTTCACTCGCTCTCTCTCGCTCTCCTGCGCCTGTCACACTTTTAACTCGGCCTTTTCCAATTCCCCCGCGAGTTCTCGCGTACACACACACACACACACACGCGCGCTGCAGAATGTGTGTGTATCAAAGCGATATAACAACGACTATATACTAAGACGACGATGACTATATACGCGACGGGATCGCGTGCGGAGCCCCACAGCACGCAGGTGTGTTTACAACGAGTTAAATCGTTGTCGATCGGCGATATTGCGTGTGTATATGCGCGCACACACACACTACTACCACCATCGTCAACGAGCCTATGTATGCAGCAGCGGCGGCAGAAGGAGCAACGCTGTTTTTTTTCATTAATGTATGTGAACGTATGTATGCATGTATCTCGGCTCTAAAAAAAGAGATAAACGTTTTGATTCGTTATAATAACGTGCGAATCGCAGATGTATACACCCAAGCGCGCAACCGCAACTATACATCGTGTGTATACGTATTTCCTTTGATATGAGCAAAGCGACTATTTATATTTGCAATTGTTTCGCGTAGTAAGTAAGTGATTTGCCGGGGGGCTAATTTTACGCTCCGCGAATCGCAGCTGTATATGCGCGTGTAACCGCACATCGTTGCCTCTAACAACTTAATCATTTCGCGAGTATAAGTGCGCTGCGCCTATATAGTGCTCGAGCTCAATGATAATAAAAAAAAATATTAAAATTCATGCGTACAAGGGTGAGCTTTATCCGCTAATTACTCGATGAATATTTTCAATCGATTTTTCGAGTGTATAAATGCCGAGTATAGAAGCGATACTATACGTGATCGAGGTAAAGGAGCGCGATGTATCCAGCGCACGCTGACGTGGGAAAATCAAAGCGATTACGCTTATAGAGAAGCTATCGTGTGTACGTATGTAGGAAACTATAAAAAAAGGAGGGCTCGTCGTGAATTTCGAATGCGTTTATACCGAGTGTGTGTATGTGCGTGTGCGTAACGTAAAGGAAAAAGTCAATATGGTTCTCGGTACAACAGGCCGAGTCACATTCAGCAGCAGCAGCGATTTACGGCGATTGTGTTATTGGCCGCGTGTGCAGTTTAAGTACGCACGTGTGTGTGTCTGTGAAGTGTACGCGAGAACGAAGAAGAAGAAGATATGTAAAGAGAGATACGATTGACCTCCTAGGAGTTGCTGCGCCGGGGACGACGAGCCGACTATGTAACCGTCCACATCGTATCGGGGCTATTACGAGGCCTCAGCGTTGCTGTGTGTATAATACTGTATAAATGCGCGTCGAGCGTCATCGAGTTGTATATAGATACAGGTACGTGATATAAAATTGCGAAAATTGAGTTATAAAAAGAGAGAGAGAGAGAGAGAGAGAGAGAGAGAGAGAGAGAGAGAGAGAAACGGCAGCCAACTAGACGAGAGAATTGCGGATTGATCTAAAGAGAGAGAGAGAGAGAGAGAGAAATGTCGAAGGCAATTACAAGAGACCAATATCCTCGAGATTATATTTTTATATTATTATATATATAGGTGATGGGTGTATTTATACACACGCATTTGGAGGGAAAAATAGCTTTATTGAGAGCTAGCTGCGTGCCAAGAACTCGTGCTGTATTATGGAAGGATCGACAGCGCGCGTCGATCAATCGTTTTATATATAGGTACGCGCACAAAAGCCAAGCTCGACGTGGCTCGCGGGAATTTAAAAGGCCCCGAGGTGGTGAACGCGCGATATTATAGGCTCGTTAGATTTAGCGCGTAAATAGTCGCGATTCCGCACTCATTGTGTAAAAATAATAATCGGTTATAAAATTGTCATCTCGCGGACGACCGCAACGAGACGACCATCGCTGCGTGTCGATCTCATGGCGCGTTATTAAAACACTCGCGCGGACGTTTCTTATCGAAATATTAACCGAGAGTCACGATGTGTGTGTGTGTGTGTGTGTGTGTGTGTGTGTGTGCACCTTAACCGACCCTTATTATACACACACACAGAGACGCACGCGATATCGCTTTTGGCGCGAGTGATTTATCGACCTCGAGCCGAGACTCTACTTTATTATATTTACGGCGTTAATTCACTTAGCGAATTTCGAGCCAATTATAACGAAGTACGCGGGGCGACATGTGGCCCGCGTGCGCGAATTTTATACACATTATTATATACTCGGCAAACTCCGCGTCTCGAGTCGATCATCTTTTCTGCACGCGTCAGCAGACGTCACTGCGATGCTGTACTCGATTTTTCTCGAAATTATCACTCGAGCGATATTGCGCACAAGTACTCGGGATTCATACACGATATTATTACATGTATGCCATTCCGGCACATAGACATCTGCCGCTCGGTGTACATATACACGCGCGATGTTATACATAATTACGTTCATAAACGATGCCGATCGCGAGCGCGGCGGTTATTATAATCGTAATCTCTCTCGCAGCAGCAGCAGCCACTGCGTACGCGCGTCATTCAATTACGAGCAATCAGCGCGCAGCGATATATGTAACGTTATTTTATTTATCGCTCGCGCGCCCCAGCGTCAAGTTCATTGATTGAAGCCCGAGAGTTTATAAGCGAGGCAGATCGTGTGCGTGTGTTTACATGTGATGAGATTCGTGCTGCAGTATCGCACGAACGTCGCGTATATTCATGTAATGCGTGAAAATTCCGTTAACACTTGTAAACTGGTGGATTGTGTGCCTGAGCTTTTGGACGCACATCTAATCTTCTTTTCTCAAATTTAACAGCTTCTTTTGTTTGATATCGAACGGCCTGATTGACGAAACAACGAGCTTAGAAGTATTACACGCACTCAATTATTTAACAAAGAGAAAATTAGATAAAAATTTAATCAGAAAGAGAAGATGAAATAGTAGCTATCGGCAGAAAAATGATTAACTTTTCCATTTCAACAAGGGTCCAACTAAAAACAAGATTTTGCTCTTTTTCGAGTTGCAAGGTTTGCATTACCGACGTTCCGCACACACACGCGAACACTCGCGTTGATAATCGGTCTTAATACATTGTATGCAATGTTTATATTTAGAATATCGCATGTCCACCGCGCGAATCTCAGCGTCGCTCGACTCTCGGACTTTATTAATGCAGTGCACTTCCACAGCCTTGATAAGATTATTATATAGACAAACGATGCTAATAAAGCTCGCCGCGAGCTTTGCAGTGAGATCTGAGAGGAAAACTCGCGATGGATAAATTAGCGATTTTTTCCCACACTCGATTCGAATTCGAGGCACAATAAATCCGCCGCTGCGTTTTACATTTGTAATAAATATAAATATTACAAGCAGGCGCGACACGCACACGCGTATTTTATATGGGCTTGACTATACACCGTGCCTATCTCTATAATGTGACACGAACACACGCGCGCGCGAGAGAGAAATGACGCAACCAACCGTTCATCGATTATACCGATCGTCTGCGCGCGATGATCGTAAAAACAAACGGCAAATTAATATAATTATGCAAATCGCGCCGAGCGAGCAGCAGTCACGGGCCGCAACTAAATACCCACACATTAGCGACACACGGCGCGCGTTAAACTATCGCGTAATGGTCCACGCCACTATTGCACTTTTTTATGCCATCGCGCGCGCGCGCGATTTTTTATTATTATATTAATAACGATCGCAAGTGTACATACTACATTGTGCGAACGCGGATCGTTAAACGACGCGAGGCTAATCGCCTAATTGATAATCATTACATCGTACAGTTGGTATAACGTCGACACTCACCTCCTGGATATCTCTGGTGAAAGATGCGCCCGTGCCTGGACAGCAGCCACGGGTAGAGCGGCTGCTGGTGCGGATGGGGCGCCGCGGGGTGGTGCGGGGCCCCGGGCGTCGGCGGGAAGGCGCCGTGCGGGGGTGCCGCCGCAGCGTGATGCGCCTGCAGCGCCGCGGCGATGTTGGCCGCCTGGAAGTGCTGGGCAGCGGCGAGATTCGCCGCCAGCTGCTGGGCCAGGTGCTGCGAGTGGTGGTACTCGCCGGCGCTGCCCGGGCCGCCCGCGGCCGCGCCCCCGTGCACTGCCCCGGGCAGGCCGTACAGGCTCTTGAGCTGCTCGACGGCCGCTACGGTGGCGGCCGGCGACGAGCCCGGCGGTGCGCCCAGATAGTTGGGGCTCGGCCTCACCACACCCGGTGGTGGCTGGGGCTGCTGAGATTGGGGCGTCGTTCGCGACTGCGGCGAGCTGCTCGTCGTCGTCTGTGTCGGCGGCGGCGGAGGACTCGGCGAGCCGTTGGGCGTCGAGCCGCCGCTGTGGCTGTTGGTCGTCGTTCGTCGGTCGCTCAGCAGCAGCGATTTGGCACTGTAGTCGAGACGATGTTGCTGCTGCTGGCGATTGTGATGCCGCTGCTGCTGATGATGATTGTGCATCGGCGTTACGGCGAGCATCTGCTGCTGCGAGCCGCTGCGCCGACTCTGCGCCGAGTACGACTCGACGCTGGAGCCCCTGGACAGGGGTCGGCCGTCGCTGCCGTCCGAGTGGGCCCCGGGCGAGCGCGAGCGCGACGACTGATTGTTGTTGTGGCCGGCCGTCGGCGAGTCGCGATCCAGCGACAGTCTCGTCGCGCCCGACACATTATGATGACCATGATGATGAGGAAGATGATGACTACCTGGACTCAGCTGCTGCTGCTGCTCGTGGAAGGACGAGTGACGATGCAGCAGATCGCGTTGATGCTGCAGCTGGGATTGCTGTTGAAGCTGGGACGATTGCTCGTCGTCGCTGCTGGTGGAGCGAGCCGCCGCCGATTCGCGCTGCTGTCCACCGCCGACGATCGAGTCGATGCTGAAGCCGATCTTGGGCTTCGAGGGTACCTGGACGATGGGCGTCGGTGCGAGCGGCATCATTGTACGCGGCGACACTACGCCCGGCGACGCGATGGGAATTTTCAGCGTCACTTTGACGGCTTTTCCCGAGACTTTCGCGGGGAGAAAATACTATTCTTCTCTCTCTCTCTCGCACCACCGCGCAACAAATTCGCACCAACTTTTTCGTACACGTTTCGTGACACACGGATAGTTTGATCGCAAAAACTTCGACGACTATCTCTCTCTCTCTATTTTAGCACAACTTTTTTCGCAACACTTTTTCCAACTTTTTTTTTCTGCTTTCGTTGTTATACCGATTTTTTACTCTTTGTTTTTTTACGAATACCAATGAGTCGAGTGATCGGTGGCACTAACGAGGATCGAGGTAAAATCGTTACTTCGCAGGATCATGTCCTTGGTGGTTGCTCCGTTCTCTGTCTGATTCCGACCCACTGTGAACTTTTTTTTTCGTACAAACACTTTTCGAGTCGATTGCGCAATCACCACCACACCACCATCGACACACTCACTGATACTTTATTTTTTTCTGCTGTAAAAGAAACGCGAACGACTTGGAAAGGTCGCCCGTCAGTTTTACACGTAAATATATAATAACAACGAGCAGCGAATGGCAAAAGCAGACGCGAATATTTCGAACCGCGCACGACGACAACACGACTCTCTCTCGTATTCTCTCTGTCCGCGTTGCGCGCGCGTGTTGCGTGTGACGTTACTTCCACAGAGGCTTGCTCTTGATTGAGGCTGCCGTATAGGAATTAGCCGGTTAAACTGTTCGGCCGCCGTTCGAGCCAGCCACGGTGAGCATGGCATTCGAAGTGCGGGAGAAGGGGAAAGCTCCCCCACTCTCCTTCGTCGGTTCACAGCACAGAGTTGGACTAAACCAATTTGCCTCGTTCGCGTGCTCGAACGCGCGAGGGAGACACCGGTCGGTCTCCGCGGTAAAACATCCGCAGACGCCGCGACGAGAGCCATTAGTGGGCGGAGCCGGCGCGAGGCCTCGATGGGGGTGGGGCCCACGGAGCGAGGTGTGATTCGGGGGCGTGTCCACGGCTGCATCGCCATTGGTCCAGTCGAGACGAGTCGTATAGTACACACCTCCTCGCTGCAGCAGCAGCCTCATAGTGCGGAGTGCGAAAAGTATATCAAAGCCGAGTGTGCGTGTGTGTGTTTGTGCAGCGAGGCACATGAATTATATACACAACACACACCCAAACGAGGAGGGATCAGAGTGGGGGTGGACGAGACAAATTTGCACGCACTTGGGTTTTCCTCTCTGAGCTGCTGCCGGAGCGATATCGAATGGAGCAGCCATACAGCTAAATGAGCGAGCATTAGAGTCATATCTATTATGGCTACTTGTGTGCTGCGGAGCCAAGACAAACCAGCCATGAAACGCTTTCTTACACGATACTCGTGTGTGCGAGTGTGAGTTTTATATTTGCTTTGTTTTCCTCATTTCGGATCTCTCTCTCTCTACCATCGGCACGCTTCTTCTTTTTTTGTCTTCAAATTGATACGTACTTCCGACCGCAGGATCGTCTCGAGGGAAAACCATTCTTTCCCATTGTGAGCATCATCGCGATGATGTTTTCTGAGTCTTTTCATCCATATACCTGACCTTTTGTGTACGGATTATTATTCCTTATAACCGTTCTTAGTTTCAATGGCACTGCGGGCACGCGCGCGAGTTTTCACAGCTGCGGAGAGGTCGAGGATCGCCCACGACTCATTCATAAAAATCGATGGACTCTTCGTGTGTATATGCGTATCTAATAATCGAGGCGCAAATATTTGTATTACGGTAGAAAGTCAAAAACGTCCATCATATATAGGTAGGGAGATATGTATACACGTCGAAAAGTGTATATAAAAAGCGTATAAACGAAAGATTTATTATTTTTAATTGATCGCACAAGGTGTTGAGAATCTCGAAAAAAAATAAGACAGAATTAGCGTGAAAAAAACGCCGAACGCAGCTCTCAATCATTTACCTATAAAAATATTATTATCCAGATCGATTACTGGATATATATTTGCTTGGAAATTAAAAATGATTCGATTTACCGGAAATCGCGCGGTGGAACATTTATAATTAACTGTACAGTGTCTTATAATCTCCGATTGGTGCTTTGTCAGGTGTCAATTAATTACCGATGTAATTTACCACCAGCGGTATCGATATACATAATTCGATTTTTATACACATCAAACACCCGGACAGAAATTATTACGATATTTTCCTAATCGTATAGGAGTTTTCCGCGCGACGATTTATTCAGTGAATTCACGCGTGTTCGCGCGCATGCAAGGATCGTGTATGGCAGAATTAATATACGTGTAATGCTATACACGTGCAGCGTTCATAATACAGAGCATATCGGGCATAAATAACTCGAGAAATTGAGCTGCACTCGTTACGAGGAGGCGATCGAGATCATTACTGTTTATTGTAGCGTGTGATCTCTCTCCGTGTGTACGTGTGTGTACATAAAATATCGTCTTTTCACTCGTTGTGCGCAGCGCAGCGCAGTTTGCGCGAGAGATTCTTCGTCGATGCTGCTGCTGCTGCAGCTCCTCGTGCAGCACACCCCATATAATTACCTCGCGCGCGCACACACACGATATACACAGGCTAACTCGGCGCTGCGTTATAATAAGACAGCGCGCAATTTCGCGTGGTTCGACGACGACGGGCACTTAAGGGCGCGCAGACACGCTGTATATATGTATATATACACTTACAAATGTGCCAAAGTAAATTGAGTGTGTACACACACACACACACACAGGCTATATACTCGGGACTCTGCGCGATGAGAGTTAATTCAGTTAGCTATATCCTGCTTTTAGCACTTAATTGAGCCAACGCGATAAAGGCGAATAATGCAAATAAATATATAAGACTTTTTTATTTTTCGGTCGAGTAAAATCTCATTTCGCTGAGTACGAGCTTGTTTTACGTAATCCGACGTATACACGGAGAAACAAATGAAGCGTGAGATCGTAATGATAATGGATATATTGATAATGGCTTCAATTTGTTTTCTGTGTCGATTTATTAGATTTATCATCGTATCGTACGTGTTTGAGTGTTTGGGTTTAATGAAGATTGCCGGAAACATCGCTTTGTAATTAAGACGCGAAGCATTTGAATGTTGATTATCTCTTCTTTGTTAACAATTTTATCAAATAATCAGATTATAATTGCGACTCGAGTTATAAACGAAAAATTATATATTTATCTTCTTATCTCTAACGCGTGAAACATAATACCATGCGCGTTAAATTATCATAGGCAAATTTCATCAGACTCGGGGAAAAATAAGAGCTTCTCGAGTCTCGAGATTTAATGTACTGCAACGCGTCAAGTGCACACACGATCTCGGCGCGCGATCTATCTCGATATTACAATTTGCAGCTCTTAACGAATTATGTAGCACACACACACAACCCAAGTACGTGTATATAGGCACGTTATATTATATGGCTGGCACGTATATTTAAAAGCGCCAGAGGCCGTCTCTCATTGCACAAACAAAATCGCACGTCGACTTTATACATATACGAATCGGAGTTTATAGAGAGAGAGAGAGAAAAAGAGCTCGCGGCAGACGCGCTATTACTTCTCTCTCTCTTCTCTCTTATAGACGCGTGGGCGCTGAAAGCCCAAAGGAGTCGAGACGTTCTCGTTTGTACAGCATAACGCGCGAGACTCGACTTTGTGCTATATGGTACTATATGCGCTACCGTTGAGTCTCGGCCGCGGATGTGTTATATTGCCCGAGCGCGCCCATAATACACAACAACAGATGGCGAATGAGCGATAAGAGCGAAACGCTCCTTTTTTTTTGTTTTTTTTTTATTCTTCAACCGCACGAGTCGAGGCGCTTGTTACGACGGAAGGAAAATCAAAATTAACCGCGTGTCCGCCAAAAGACCATGGGTGCGAACGTTTTAATCCCGGATAAATACCGTGGCGATTCGTCCTTTGTTTCCAATTTATTTTTGGTACTGTAGCAATGTAGTTTTTTTTAATGTTTTTTTTTTTTTTTTTTTTTTAATAAACCAACGGAAACTGGGAAAAAAATCAACTCGGTGTAATGGAAAAAGCCGGTTGTAACGTACGAAAGAAAAAAAAAATTGCAAACGGAAAAAATCATGTACCAGACGCGTATGTAATTGGACCGATATTTGTAGAGCCTGCAAAAAAAAGAACGTAGCTGCACAATGGGGTATCGGTGCGAGATATTGTAATTGAAATTCTTTCAGGCATTGTTGGGATTCTTTTTTAGGACAATATCCGTACGTAAAAAATACCGAAATACGCGATTGCTAATTTCTGATGTCGTTAAATACTTCGATAACTATTCGACTTCGATTTATTCAATCCGATACGAATTTATCTATAATTGCTGAACAATAACTTCGCAATTAATGCGTGATTTATCAATGAAAGTCAATAACGAATTTTTCGCGTGCCGCATAGAAACGACAAAAGGACTCGAAGATACCGTATCGCGTTTCGCGACTCGAAAAGTTCTTTTGAACCTTTTTTTTTTTACCGCATTCAACGCGGAATAAAGCGGTCTCGCGCGCGCATTGGACGCAATGATACACGAAATCCATACGCGGATTTCTTCTTTTCAAACAGCCGCACACGAGCATTGAAAAGGATAAAACTCCGATTTGAAAGAGAGCTGCAAAACTATTTTGAACTGCGAATAAAAAGTCCTGTGAATCCTTTATTTTGTCGAGAAAAATGAAACTCGTGCCACGTATTATTCTCGAACGCAACTCGAAAAATGTCTAATCTATATCGGTTGTATAGATTTGTATTCTTGTCTTCGGCGACGGTTGGCCAAGAAAACGTTATACTTTTGTTAAGACGTATCTTTCGTACAACCCCTTGATAAAAATACAAAAAAAATTGTAACGGACAACTTGGAGTTTTTTTTAAATAATATAGATTTAATTTTTCAACACTTGGTAAATTTACTTTATATGTTTTTATGTAATAGAATAATTTATTTATTTATATGAAAAATACATAATAGATTGTAAAGTTCGGATGAAATGATGTAATAAATAACTTCCAATTTCTTGTATAGGTTTAGCTTTGGTACAAAACTATCTCCTTGCTAAAACACCGAATAGACATACAACCAATGCCATCTAGCACCGAAGACTAGAACTTTAAAAGATGTCCATGATACAATTCATTGATCAGAAGGTATGAAATTTATAATTTTTTGTTTGAACAATTTTAATTCTGAAAAAATATTTTCGACTATTTTAAAATACCTTAATTTTATATTTTATATTTTTACATTAATAAAAATATCACACATTTCATATAATGACATTATATCGTATTTTTAAACGAATTTGCTCGGTACCCTTTAAATTCATTCGGTGCAAACTTGATCGTCACCATATAATATTCGAGCATTATTTTATAAATTGCATTATGGTTTATCCGAAGAAAAGCAAACACAGCGATATTATTAAAGGCTTATTAGCAACGTCGAAACTGCTGTACACGCCACGATGTCGAACAAAAAAAAAAGAACCAGGACGATAAAGGCTGGACGAAGCGCACGTGAAAAAAAAAGGTTACACTTAATAAGTAATAGGCCGAAAAAAAACAGCCAGTTCCCAGCGTGCCGTAAGAGAATACGTGCATACAAGGGCTGGATCGCGGTGTACACATAAAATACGGTCGTAAGCACATTGTAACATTGATTTGCGGTTTTATATATATATATGCCGCGGAGCAGCTCTCGGGGCTTTTATCAGCTGCGATCGGATATGACTCGAGGGCTATCATTATGGCTCATTACCGCGTTCGAGCCTCTCTCTCTCTCTCTTGCTCTTGCTCTGCAATGTGCGGTAGTGGCGCGCGCGAGCAACCCAATACATATCATGCTGCGCGCGGAGCATTAAAAGTGCAAGCGAGAACACGAGCAGAACTGCTGCTGCTGCTGATGCTGCTGCAGAGATGAGAAAAATAAACATAATTCTGCTCGCCGCCGACGCTGCCGCCGCATCGACGATTATTATACGTATCGACGTAATGAACGAGGCCAAAATCGAAAAAGCCCCTACGGAGAGGCTCTGATGCGGTGGCGGCGAGCATCTCACCTCACACGCACACATCATGTGGCGCATTAGAAAAAGTGCTACCTCTATTTATTTACGCAATTCGAAAAGTATTGATATAAGATTTGGGGTTGATGAAAGTACTAAGAAAAGAAAAAAGTCATTATTAGAGCTTTTACTAATTTTGAAGAAATTTAGGGAAACAATATTATTTGGTTTACATTAAATTATTAAATGGTTTTCTTTTGGGCTTTTTGGGTAAAAAACTTATTATAATCTAGGGCTCGCCGAGTTCGAGACGAGTTCGAGTAGAGTCGGGAAAAATCGAGTACTCAAAAAATCGAGTACTCGACTCGAATTCGAGGAAAAAACTCGAACTCGACGAGTCGAGTTTTTTCGAGTACTCGCACAGCCCTAGTAATAACTCGAGCCAAGCAGAGTCATTGATTTTAAGCTCAAAATTCATAAATTTAACAAATTAAGTGAGCGGTGGTATGACCATTTTTGTTAAAATTGATAAATTTTAACATCATTACTCATATATTACAAAAATCACTAAATCGTTGTAAAAATCTATAATTGAATTTTCGAAATATGAAAAAATAAACATTTTTGTGCTGCCCAACCTAAAGTAACATTTTATTCCCGCTGAGCAAAACTAAAATGTTACTTTACGCTGGGGGATTCACAAAAAATTGTATTTGCACCTATGTAGCGAAAAAAGAAAGTCGTCTCAGAGCACGTGATTATCAGCCGATCAGCTTCCCCTCGGATGATAAATTACACGTGCTCTGAGACTTTCCAGTTTTTCACTCCCTATAGGTGCAAAATATACTATTTCGTTCTCGCGATGCAATATTTTTAGCCGCTCACGAAGCAGGATCGTCATGTGTACTGACTATATTCACATACACTACGATCCATATTCTATACATAGAAAGTAAAAAACACGGGGATGCTGCTACGAAAGAGAAAAGTAGCTCGAATTATGTATGGTAAAGATTAGAAAGTGTACAATTTCCTTATTAAGGGGACCGTAGTTGTACATATGGAGTGACTGTGCCCCCAAGTTTGGGTGCTTCTCCGCTTCTCCCACTTACTCTCGCTGTGTCGCTCGACGCTGTAGCGCCGGTTTGAAAGTGTAGTACGATTTGACTGCTCATTCGTATGCTTCTATCTTGTGTAGGCTATGGCTTTAGACATGTGTTTTTTACTTTCCATTTAATATATCATAGTGTGCAGTGCATAGTCAGTACACGAGAAGACGCCGCCGTGTGAACAGCTGAAAATATCGAATCGTTTTCAGCTAGTGATTTTCGTTAAAAAATTCAATAGTATTCTTAAATAATAAACTATACTGTGTTGTGTTTGTTAGTGAGTGCACAGAAAGATGCAGATCGATAACGAGGACGTGGATCATCTTAACCAACTAAAAATAAGAAGATTAAAGAGATTACGGAAAAAGGTAGATTGGGAGATCGAAAAAGAACGACATGAACTTCTCGATCGACTTTATCCCTTCATTGAAAATTGGGAGGATCACTATGCAAATTTCCTAGACATTTTTCGACGACCAGAAATCCATCGGCTTCTCACGGATTCCATAAATTATTGGGGTAAAGACGAATCTGATAATAGATTAATAGCATTCATCGCGTTTGTTATTCGCACCGGCTTCGAGGACGAGCCTATAGTTGATGAAGAAGGAAAGCCACTGTTGCATCGCACCACTGCAGTGCACGTGGCAGCTCGACGCAGAATCGATAGCAGAATGGATAACCAAGACGATCAGTCGGATATGGTGATCAATAGACTTTTCTCAATATATAACAAATTTAATTTGAATTACATCGACGAACGTGGCCTGTCGCATTTTCATGTGGCCTGCTTGGCTGGCTGTGAGTCAGTCGTCGAGAAATTTCTCGAGTTCGGCCAGGATCCCAATTTTATCTGGCGAGAAAAAGGTTATTCGCCTCTGGACTTGGCTCTAGGCCAGTGGACGTTTTACGATTGGAACAACAAAGACATACTTCAATCTCTGTTGGAAAATGGCGCAAATCCAAATATAGCCAATGCAGTCGGAATGACACCCCTGCACCATATAAGCAGGCGAATTCCTACTCAACGTACGGGGAAACACATGGTGAAGATGATTTTCGAGTTCTGCCAAGACAAATATCGACCGGTGCGGGTCAATGCCACGAACAAGGATGGTTGGACGCCATTTCACATTGCTCTGTTCAGCAAAAACAAGAAGGCGATCGAACTGCTGCTGAAAAATGGCGCCGATCCAAATACGGTCGATAATTATGGATATACACCTCTACACACTTTTTGCTTCTTAAACGACGATGTTTCCTTGCTGAAGCTATTCTTCGAGATCAACGACAAGTTCCAGCGGACGGTGCAAGTCAACGCCGTGGACAATAAGGGACGAACACCTCTTCAATTGGCGGTGGACCGTCTTTTTCCTGATGCGGTCGACAAATTCTTGGATCGTGGTTCTGATCTGTCCAATTTGGTTTCTCCTTTTGGTACACTTTTTAGATATATTCTTTTTGATGAAACATCATATCATTATAAAAAGATACTCCCGTCTAGCATTTTGGTCATCGCTGAAAGTCTGGAGAGCAGAGGATACAATTTGAACCGAAGCGACGCCCTAAGGATCATGAAATTTTTTGCTGATCACGAATTGCTCGAAAAATCAGCGAGTCTTGATCAAACTTTGCATTCAGAAAAATATTGGTACGATGACGAAAAGTTCACGAGCACAGCGAAAGAGATTGAGGTAAATCCGAGTCTGTCGCTCTACGACCTGGTTCTGTTGCAACCAAGACAAGCAGCGAAACAGCTGACATTAAAAAACTACTACGAGTTTGCGTGCTCGGAAAAAATGGATAGTCTCCTCGAAATGCATAAAGAGGCTTGTAGTTTGCATTTGTGCGAAAAACTATCGAGAAAATTTTTTCGGCGATGGGCACTGGATCCTTTCTTGGAGTTGACGCATTATAGGCTGCCAATTCTTTGCTGTGATATGATCATCGAGAACCTTGGGAACAAAGACTTATATAATATTTGCTTGGCGGCACAAAGTCTTGAAAACAAAATTAAGAAAATTACAGAAAAAAATGCGAAAATAAGTAATACAAAAAGACAAAAGACCTGTAGAGGCTAGAAATGCTCTGCAATGACTAGAAATAAAAACGATAAGATTATGAAGGTTTGCTTTTATTCTTGTTATGAAATTCATAAAAGAAGCAAAAAAGATGATGATTTTTTGCTTATTGTCTTGGCGACTATAAGCCAAAGCATGTAATAGTGTTAATTATATTTATCATAATTTTTATGTTTGGTGTATTAAATTTTCTAGATTTTCCATGTTATTCAAATAAATGAACTTATCTTAATATTAAGTTTCTTGTGAGTTAATTTTATCTTTTCATATAATGTCTACAAAAGTTTTAAATAATGACTTGATAAAGTTGTCAAATACTTGAAAAATTAGAAAAAAATGTACCAAGTAAATAGTTATTTTTTAATATTATATTACATCACGAGAAAGAAAAAAATGCGGCTAATTTCTGACCAAAAGGCTTCCTTTCAACATAAGCTTTTTCTTCCTTTTATTTGTTGATTCTAATAAAAAGTCATAAATCCCATATTCGACAACCATATATCAAACAAGACTTTTAAACGTGAAAGAAATGTTTATTTAAAAATTATCATTTATCGTCAAGTAATGTAAAAGAAATAGAAATTATTTGTCTGTATTCTGTGAAAGATTTTCATCGCTAAAATTAAAATTAAAAAATGTATAATACTTAAAGTATCGAAAATTAAAGTATAAAGATTTTTGTTCTCAGGACATGGAAATTTTTTAACAGAAATCGTTATTATGTCAACTATAACGTAAACGATTGCTTTCTTTCTTTTTCTCGAATCTTTTGGTGCCGAATCATAATCCATTTGTATCCAAATTTTTTCTCGCAATTGACGCACGCAAAATCTTTGTGACATTCGTGTATTATTCTTTGGTGTTTGATCAATGTCGATTTTTCTCCAAATTTCTGCTCGAAATTTTTGCATGCAAAATCTTTGCGACTTTCATGGACACTTTTTTGGTGTCTT